GATAGGGTCTTGCTAAATTGCTGAGGCTGACCTTGACCTTGTGATCCTCCTGCCTCAGCTTCCCTAGTTGCTGGGATTACAGGGTGCACCACCTTGCCCAGCCCTAAGTGGTTCTTGATAGTGGAACTAGTCACCCTGTACCAGGCAACAAGGCCTGGAGGGTGTCAGGGTGCGTGCTGGGGACAAACAGTGACACCTGGGAGGTATTCGTGTCAACATGGGCATGCATGGTCCCTCCTGGGGCAGGGGATTGGCAGGGGGAAATGGGTTCATGATTTCTGGCCTCATCTGCTCTATGGTGTGATAAGGTGGCAGGGCTATCAGGGCAGCCTGATGCTGCTCCCAGTCTGAGCTAGAGAGGCCCACCCAATCTCAGGGACCCAGGCCTAATGCCCAGAGACAACAGGACACCCCTCTGTCAGCACTCCTGACCCCCACCCCCTCATCTGATGTCCATCTGTGTCTTTGAAGGGGTGGTTCTCAGCCCAGGCTTTGAGTTCAGATCACTGAGCCAAAAATCCAAACCCACTAAATGCACACTTAGGATTTATGTATCCCATTAATAGAAATTTTATCCAAAACACAAATTGTAAAAAATTGAGGAACTCTAGTTAATGAAGAGTTTAGAGTGAAGTGTGAACAGCACACTTCAGGTTATTTTAAAGTTCATAAAAAAATGGATATGTCATTAACAATAATAAAATATATGCTGAACTAGGTGATGCACACATGTAATCTCAGCTACTCAGGAGGCTGAGGCAGGAGGGCTGCAAGTTCGAGGTTAGCCTGGGCAATTTAGCAAGACTCTGTCTCAAAATCAAAAAGTAATAAGGGTTGGAAATGTAGCTCAATGGCAGAATGCTTGCACGTTGTGTCTGAAGTCCTGAGTTTAATCCCAGATAGCACACACTCACACATACACAAGAATAATAAAATACGGATGGGCATGGTGATGCAGGCCTGTAACCCCAGCAGCTTGGGAGGCTGAGACAGGAGGATCGTGAGCTGAAAGCCAGCTTTAGCAATTTAGCGAGGCCCTAAGTAACTTAATGAGACCCTGTCTCTATATAAAATATTAAAAAGGGCTAGGGATGTGACTCAGTGGTTAAGCACCCCTGGGTTCAATCCCTGGTACAAAATAAAAACAAAAAAGAAAGAATAATAAAATATAAATGACAGAATCAATGTGCTGGGTGTAA